GGCCCCCGCCGCCCCCGACACCTTCCCCTACGAGACGGCCGTGGCCAAGTGCAAGGAGCGGCTGCCCGTGGAGGACCTGTACTACCAGGCCTGCGTCTTCGACCTGCTCACCACGGGCGACGTGAACTTCACGCTGGCCGCCTACTACGCCCTGGAGGACGTCAAGATGCTCCACTCCGACAAGGACAAGCTGCACCTGACTGGGTTATCCAAACCAAAAATCCACGGATATCACCTACAACAAAACCTGGCAACCAGTGTTTCCTTCAAGTCCAAAATTTGAGTGAGCAAGTACATGCCACCAATAACTGCATGGGTCACATGATATCAGAAACTGCAGAAGGAGAGAGGTAACGGGACTTCTGATACCATAGAGAACTAGAGGACCCTAAACTCACCAAAGGAGTTCACTAGAAATTTCAGTGGACCATCTGGAGAACAGTGGCAAAGCTAGGGTTTGGGGGGAAGGTTCTAATCATTGGTGTAAGAAACGTCCAAACATGTAAAGACATTTTCTAAGAGTTTATTTGAGACAAACTCATGACATATGCTGGGAGCAAGATCTCAAAGGCTCTGGAGAATAACAGTTTTGCAGCTTCTTTTGTGCATTTGAAATTAAGGAGGGGATATAAGGAAGATTGGAGAACACTCGTGGGCTTGGATGCCCTTCTCCGGCCCCTTCTCCCATGGCCCCCTCCCCCACTGTGCTTAGGAAGTCGAGTTGAGTTTCTAAATGTCACACACACAGAACTACCCTTTGACTTAGGACCCTTCGTGCCCAGTCGGGCCCACCCACCCCCTGCCGTCCCCAGGGACCTCGCATACACTGGCCCAGGAGGCTGCGGACCTGTCCTGCCTCCCCCTCCAAGAGGTCCCCTCTCTGCCAACCCCCCTGGCGGGCGGGCGGGCGGCCCCCTGGCCTTCAGACAGCCCTTGCGCTGGAAGGAAAAAGTGAAGCACTTTATTTTGGTTGTGTTTGCTCTCGCGTCTGCTTGGAAGTGGGGACCTCCCCACCCCCCACTGCGTCCTCGTGTCTGCGACCTGTGTGGAGGGTCCCCGCGTGTACATACTGTAAATTATTTATTAACGGCTACATGCAAGTAAAGTTTGGGTTTTGTTTTGTTATTTTCCTTTGGACTTGCGTGTTGGAGTTTGTTTTCTGGACGGCTGGTGCCTTTGCGGGGTGCAGAGTTGACTTTGGTGGCGCGTGTCCCCTGACAGTGTATGGGGGGCAGTTAGCATGTGCGTGTGTGTGCATGTGTGTGTGCCTGTGTTGTAAATGTGTGCAGAGGATGTAGCAACGTCACCACCTAAGCCCCTGCTCCTCTAAATAATTACTCTTTATCCTCACGACGAGCTGCATGGGGGCGGGAGGGTCCGGTCCCCTGGCCCTGGGGCTGGGACCGTCTCAAGAACACACGGGCGGGCACCCTGCGGAAGGACCACATGCCCCCGGGGGCCTCGGGTGGGCTGGCCTGAGACCCCGGATGACTCCATCTCGGCGGTCGGTCTGGAAGCTCAGGCCTGGGCCTGTCGCTGCCTCCCCACCCCCACCATCCCACCCCGCGTCCCCCGGTCACATGCACCCTAGGGGGAGAGTGATGACCCCACCAGTGTGAGGAGGGCCACGGCTCGCTCGGGGCCAGGTTCCCTGCTGGCTTCACTCTGTGTCATCCTGTAAAACGACCCACTGAGCCAGACACACATTCGCGCCCATTTCACAGATGAAGAAACGGAGGCTGGCTGTGAGTTGACTTGCCCACGATTCCTTAGCCAGGGCGGGGCCAAGGGGTACAGCTTCGGTCCGTTCCTGCTCTCAGCACGGGGGCCTGGCCCACAGCACGTGTCCCGAGCTGGGGGCAGGAGCGGTGGAGTGAGACAGGCCGCGGGTGGGAGGAGGAGGGGGAGGGCCGCACAGGGCCTGGGTGCTCGGGAGGGACGTGAACCCGACGGCCAGCGAGGGGAGGAATCCGGAATGAGCATGCGCACTGGTCCCAACCTCGAGAGAAAGGCTGAAAGTATGGGGACCTTTCCAGAACCCCACTCTTCTATTTCCATAGAAAACCTGGTGGTCTGGGCTTGGGAACAGACGGGGCAAGGCCAGAACATACCCACGCGTCCTACCCAGTCGCCCAAACTGTC